AACAGTCCTTTCCCAAATGATTACCAGCTTAGCATCTGCAAGTGGTTCTTTCTGCAGTGTCATAAATCACTGATTCACTTCATCTGTGAAGAAAGAATCTACCCAGCCTATGTGTCAGCAAGTCCCTTCTGTAGGCCGTTCTGGAGATGGGCAGAGCTGAAGTTCAAGCCCATTGTCATCCACCTTCTGTGTGGTAACTGATGGAGCATAACCCCAATGGACAGAAAGTGCAAAGTCATTTGTGAAAGAGAGGGCTGTCAAGACACAGTTAACTTTCTACTCAGCAGATGTTCAGATGGACCGAAGGAGGAAGTAAGTGCGAAAGTGGCCCCTAGATTAACATGATCTGCAGGAACAAGGGGGAAGAGAGTATGTATCTGTACAGATCTGTAATGGCACCCAAGCTCCCACAGCTCCCTGTGACCTTTCCATCCACACCCTTCCTTGAAAATTGCTTTCTATTGGCTGCCTCTGTTGGGAACAGCAACTTTCCCAGAGTATGTAAGTCTTTGCACCTTTGGGAAGCAGCATGATGACTCTATTGAGTTCCCTGGTCTTGTCAGTACCTTTCTCAAGTCACTACACTCCCTACACTGTTGAAGGAGTGAGTTAGCAGTTACATTTCCTTGACCCAGCCTGGGAAATCAGATGTTTTATCCTGGGAGTGCGTAAATTTAATATTCTAAGTGGGTTCTGTTGAGCATAAGAAAATATGCTTTAAAGGGGGCACTGATGCAACTTTAAAGCCAGACTTGGTAACTGATGTTTGCTTTAGGTTTTTCAAAGCTCTAAATTTATATAGCCTCACTCAGCCTAAGGAAGACAAAGAAGACTCTGGTCATTACAGGATGTCCTGCACTATCATGTTGCCCTGGGGAAAGGGTGTAGGAGGCTTATTCAGATGATCTCAGCAGCCAGCCGTGATGGGGTAAAACCTTTCTGGCCTAATACACTTGTCTGTACAAAGCAATGGGCTAGGAAGATGGATCCACACTGAGCACCCTAGTATAGGATTATAGTATAGTATATATACTATAAATATACAATATAAAATATTATAATATTTTAAATATATGTATTATAATAATATAAATAGGGCTATTATCACAACCTATGAATCAGCATAAAATCTTCACTATATATTTTGACTGGATTATCCATCTTTATTATTTCAGAAAAGTAAAGCATAATTTAACCAAATGGTATCTGCATCTGGTTTCTCATAATTCCACATCTTAATCCAGACATTATATAACACTTCAAAGGGAAGCCATGCAAAACATGGAACTATTGCCTGTTAATCTCCTGAAGCTCTGGATGCAGGTCAACCTGACTTTCAGGAGGATGAGAAAGGGGTGAGGATATGACCAGATCAACACTATTTTATCTTAGATGTGTAGAGGAAGATGCTATGATAAGGGAACCCTCAGCATTCTGTCATCTCCTGAAGTCCCACAGAAGGGACATTCTTACCTCCAAGTCCCAGGAAACCTTCTCTGGGGGAGCTTACATAGTTTTCTAAGCTGATGACACTATGAAGAGTAAGGGGAGAGGTATTGGATGACCTTTGGTTGTGCAGTGATGCCATGCCGAGTCCCAGAAAGAGAAGTGGATTTTTGAACTCATTGGTTCTGAAGATTCTATCTGCTAGCTGACCTGACAATGTCAGGATATAGTAGATAAAGCCCTGAGTAGATGGCCAGATCTCTGCAGAAATTGGGGTTCATTTAGAACCTGGTCCCTTGGTCCCTAGTAGCATGGAGTTTCTGTCAGGCCAACCTTCTTACACACTAAATCCCAACTCGTGCTCACTTTTATTCACTCTGCTCTGTGCTCCATACAAACATACACACACACACACACACACACACACACACACACACACACACACACACACCAGGAAGCTTAGGATTAAGCAGCAGTTTTTGGTTTAAGAGAGCAAAACAGCAAGTTATCTTTACTGTAGAGTTAAAGGAGAAAGGAAGTAGACCTTAAATCTGTATACCTGAGCCAGTTGGTGGCAGCATGAGTCTTTAATCCCAGCATTTGGGAGGCAGAGGCAGGTGGATCTCTGAGTTCAAGGCCAACCTTGTCTACAGAATGAGTTCCAAGACAACCAGGGCTACACAGAGAAACCCTGTCTCAAAATAAAAACAAAACAAAAAATATATACCCATGTTCAGTCAAGTATTGAGAGAGCCACTCTTCCAACCTGGGATGATGCTTACTAGGGATCCTAGCTGTTGCCATAAAAATCATTATGAGTGATATTTCCTTATGTTACAGAGTCCCATAAAGACATAGAGCAACCCAACAGAATTTATGACACATGATAAGTGCCCCGCCAGCAGGGCTTCAACGGGAACTCAACCACCCTAAGGACGGAATGATAGGGTCAGGAGACACAAAAGGAATGCACCAAGACAAGATTCTGATCAAGGTGCAACTTTATTTTTCTCCAGAAGGGAGAGTGTATCTCTTTTATGGCACCATTAACAGGATTTAGTCTTTCTGTGATGATCAACAATGGTGTTAATGCTGAATGTTCTCCTACCTCACATCATGAGAATCAGAAGGCTGCTGGCCTTCTCAGACTTTCCTTCTTTCTGTTGGCCTTTGTGACTCTCTCTTCATGATGAAGGAGTTGGCAGGTCCCAAGGTGGAAAGGCCTTCCTCTCCATTCTCCATGGCCCCACAGGCTTCCCTCCCTCCAGTGCCACCAAGACTTGACCTTCTACAACAGCAAGCATCTGGTCCTGCGAGCACTTTAGTTTTGGGAACTACTTCCAAGGCTGGTTCTGGCTCCCTTCATAAAGACAAACCATTACCAATACCTCCTACATTTTGAGATCTTCCACCACCACCCCCTCCAGACCGGCCTTACTCTGTTGGAGCAGAAACATGATCTCAGAGACAGCCCCTGCCTTATACACCAGGTGATTGCCCATCTAGAGACAAACTGCACCTTGTCCCCTCTAGCCGCCCAGGGGACTCATGGTTGCCTCGGCAAATCCTGAAAGTACCAGTAGCTACCCCAAGCCCTAGTGATCCTTGGAATGGAAGAGAATTGACCAATTGGCACTCACTTCCATTTTTATTGCCTCCACAAATGGAACCTAGAGGAAATGTTCCTAGACTTGGAAGCACATTTAGTCTGGATACTTCCGTGACTGTGAATAGCAGTTCAATAGCAGGTCCAGAGAGTGAGCACCCAAAAATCAAGCCTTCCTCATCTGCCAATGCCATTTACTCTCTGGCTGCCAGGCCTCTTCCTGTGTCAAAACTTCAAAATAGGTACCCTTGTTACCTGCATTCTCTAGCCAAGTGACGGCCCTTGTTGCAGCAGGGACATAGAGTGGAAGGCAGGCAACTCATAGAGGCGGCCTCCTGGGCTGGCTGGGCTAAGGGAGCGAGGCTGTTACCTTTCTGGGGGCATTCCCTAGCGAAATGTCCTGGTTGTTTGCAGGAATAACAGGGGCGGGCTACAGGCTGTTGTGAAGCCCTCAGGGCAGCATCGGTTGCTAATCCCATGGCATGGGCAGCACCAAAACCTGAACAGAGTCTGACATATTCAGACAGGTCTGCTCTGTTTTTATGAGGGCGGAGGACTTCCTGGCAGGCAGGGTTTGCGTTTTGAAAGGCCAAGTGTTAAGGTACTTTCGTTTTCGCGTGGGCTGAACAGTCTCTCGGAGGCATCATTTAAGCGAGAGACAAAATCGCTATGAAAGACCCTAACCCTTCAGGCTTACACCCCCAAGCTCCAGGAAATGAGAAACTAAAAATCTAGTTCCAAGGGCAAGCTGACTCAGCCATTGTTCAACCACCCCTACAATGTAACAATGTAAAAAGATTTCTGTTAAGAGATGTCCTCAACTGTGACTGGGATAGTCAAGTGTTCCAGGAAGGACCACTGTGACCTTTGTGTAAACTCCACTCCCGCCCTGATACCCCCCTTGAGGTTTCAGGAAGAATGTACATGTAGACGTGACTGTACCCACTCTGTGATCAGACCATGATCTTGTGAAACAAAATTGTATGGGAATTGTAATCTTATGGCTTTTGTGGGTTTTTCCTTTAAAAGCACCCATGTGTCTACAGTAAGATGTGACTCTTGCTCCCAGGACAAGAGTTTGCCTGACTGTACAGCCGCATTAATAAACACCTCTTGCTGTTGCATCAACTGGACTGGAGTCTGGGTTCTTGGGGCGCCCCCTCGAGAAGGTAGTACCCTGGGTCTGGGGTCTATCAGCTAAAAGGTTCATCAGGGCCCTGACAAATCTTTGCCAATGAGGTGGTAGCTGAACCCTTTTGGGGCAGGCGTTTCCAGGCCTGGACCTTAGTGTTTTGAATCTGGGCCAGGAGGCCAGGAGGGAATTTTGCCTGTGTTGCATTTGTATCATAGGGGGAGTTGCTGAGAAGTTTCTTTAGTGTCCAAGTTTTTGAGGATGGCTGTTCAAGTGAAGTAGTGGGAGTGGAGAAGGAACAAAGAAATCTGTAATTGGTTGTGATCAATTAGTTGTAAACACCACTACCCTTGAACCAACCCTCTAGGGAGGCCTCCTCGGCAGGGTCTAGAGGAAAGTTAGAGGTAAAATTGTTAAGAAAGGGATAAAGATGGGCAGGGGCGGACTCCTGAGGATTCTTAGGTTTAAAAACCATGAGCATCCCTTCTTCCATAGAGCACAGGTCATGATCTGAGGGATAGACTGAAGGCAGACAAGAAAGCACTCGGGGGTCTTAGGGCAGGTATAGGGGGAATGAAAGGCTTCTTTTAAGATTTTTTTGTCCTATATTAATGACCTCTTGTATGTCAGGGAAATGTTTATAGACCCTAAGAATGTCATTAATAATCAAGAAAGGCTTTAAGGTCTTTTTTCTTTACCCTAGTTCCTTGTGTCTTGAGGGGCTCTTTTAGGCCAGAAATGAATAAATCTTGTGACGAAGTTGCCTGACCCATGGCTTGTCACTTTCTTACCTGTGTCGCCTCTGCTCTCCTCCAGGATAGCGTCCTGAACCAGGCATTTCAGGGGGATCCAACAACTTCACCAAGGCCTTGGTCTTTCCTCCAGGAGACGATGTTCCGAATCCTCAAGAGGTGGTTTCATCCACGTTGGGTGCCAGTTGCCCCGGCCAACAGGGCTTCAATGGGAACTCATCCTCCCTAAGGACAGAATGATAGGAACAGGAGACACAAAAGGAATACACCAAGACAAGATTCTGATCAAGGTGCAACTTTATTTTTCTCCAGGAGGGTTTATATAGTTCCTGCAAGGTAGATCAGGAGCAGGAAGCTGTTATCTGCATAGGGTGGGGCAAGCTAACAGGATGTTTGTGTAGGATGTTTATGCAGGATGTTGACAGGGTGAAAAGGTCAAGGGTTCTGACTCAATGTCCTGTTGCTAGGCAACCTGACTGTAAGATGTTCTAGTTTCCTGTCTTATCGGGGGTCTGTATTTTTCCATTAACTAGAGATTCAGTCCTTGTCCTTGACAGATAAGGAGAATTTTACTAAGCACTGGTTAGGTGTCAGCCATGGAGTTGCATTTCTCATAGATTGACTTTATCTGTACTGGGATATAGCTCAGTGTGTAAAGTGATTGCTCAGAAGTAAAAATACCTAGGTTCAATCCCCAGCACTGTGGTGGTATAGTGTATGTCCACCCTCTTAGCACCCATGAGGTGCAAGGGGATTAGAAGTTCAAGGTCATCCTTGACTTTATAATAAGCTCAAGGCTAGCCTTGGCAACATCTCAACCCTCCCACCTGTTAAAAACCGTAATCTTTCCAATAACCCTTAGAGACAGGCAGTTATGACATCTTTACAAATGAGAAAAATCAAAGGTGAGGAACAATCAAACAGTATGTGGCTGCACAACGGTGTGAATCTAGGTCCATCTAACTCCAGCACACATACTTCCCAGACCTGCCTGTGACCACCTCCATCCATACAGTGGCTGAAAAAGCACAGTCCACCTCGTGCCTTCTTTAATCTCATCTGGTACCATTCTCCTAATTTTGCCAGCTGCACGTTTATTTTTAAAAGTGAAAGCAGAATCTCTCCCACCCTGAGAGATCTAGAGTTCAAGATATGTCTTCAAAGACTGGCAAGAGGCCACAGGGAAGGAGCAACCTCACTCACCTTTCATACTGGGACATATGCATTTCATTTCCTTAGTTCCACTGCAACCATTAAGAAACGACTATTTGTATTTGCTGAAGTAATTCCAGCCACTGTACAAATGACTCCCATGTTTCATGTTTAACCCATGTTTAACCCTTAAGACATTTATCTCTCACTCACATAACTGTTGAGCACAGACTTGCAAAAAGCTGAGAGCTAAGGGTCTAAGGAGCACCTTCCAGAGACCTAAATTACACAACATTCTTCCCTCTGAAGTGGAAGACGCCTCCATGGTGCTTCCTATCCCACTCCTGGCATCCCACACCCCACCAAGGTTTGCTGTCTTCCAAGAACACCGAGAAAGTCCTGCTTGGAACAGAGCTCATTTCTCAGCCCCTGTGGACCTTACTCCTTCCCTTTACCTGTCACAGAGCTTTAACACTTCTGACCACAAAGGAGAATTTAAATCAGAAGTGACTTCTAATGGTACAGGAGGTAGATTACACTGGCTCTCATTGCCACTTACCAGTGATCTCTCTGGGCAATTTACTAAGCCCACTTATGGGGTCCTCTGAGAATTCCACCAGGAGCTGAGGAAATGATCCATAGTTCCCTTGGCTCTTTCTCAAGTGGCTCACAGGTCTTGAGGTCTCCTTTAGGGATTAATTTTGATTCCAGAAAAGAGAGGTTTACTTCTATGACCCAGGGGCAGAGATATACTCAGGGGCCTGCAAATTAGGGAATCCTAGTCTATCATTGAAAATAACTAGTACTCTTCATGCTTGTAGTCCCCTTTAAGCACCATTCCCTCAAAGGAGGCATCCTCTTGTCTACAGGCCTCGGTTTGAGCCTCTCTCCCTCTCCAGTTGCCTGCATGTTTACTCCATCACATTCACCTGACTGTCAAAGGGAGATGTATGCAGACTGTTCCTGTCCCACAAGCCATTTCCCAAATAACCATCACAACACACAGGCTTATTATGAATTATAAATTATTGGTCAATAGCTCAGGCTTGTTACTACCTAACTCTTACATTTAAATTAACCCATATTTCTTATCTATGCTTTGCCACATGGTGAATGGCTTATCTTATTTTCTATAGGTCCTGTTCCTTGGCATCTGGCTTGAGTCTCCCTGACTCCACCCTTCCTCTTCCCATCATTCTCCTAGCTTGGTTGTCCCACCTATAACTTCTACCTGGCGACCAGCCAATCAGTTTTTTATTAAACCAATCTGAGTGACAAATCTTTACAGTGTACAGAACAATTATTTCACAGAATTTTCCCATTTTTGTCTAATTTAAAATGAAGGGTTTAACTTTAACACAATTAAAGTTAAATTATAGGAAAACTATAATTATATAGTATTCAACTTTATCAAAGACCCCAGAAGAATGAACTATTACCTAATAACAGGGACTTCAGCCTGCCTGGACAGTAACCTAAAATTTGTCTGCAATGTTCCTCTGCAACTTTGGCTTACATGCCTAGAATGTCTAACAGACTTTTCTGTGAAGCAGGGAATTTGAAGGACTGTCCTACCTTGTCCTGGCAAAGTTCAGCAGTCACTTTTCTTGTGTCCTACTGGTCTACTTTAGACAGTAACTGTCAGAAATTGATGCAAGGGCAATTTCTTTGCCTACATGACTAGATTTTGCCATAAAGACAACAAACTTCATACATGGCTTCTTTGATGGCCATCATCTTCTCTGAAGTAAATTGGTGCTCTCAGAATCAGATGTGTCTCATTGTCATAAAAAGCCTTAGGTTATTAAGCATTAAATGCCATATTCTGTAGGTCTTTGAAATGTTAAAAAACTGTCTATCTATCTAAGTATATCTGTATATGACCTCCAAAAGATACTTAACATAAGTTTGACTATTATAGATGACTATTAATCTGTTTATACATCAAATGAGCTGCACAAACATAATATGCCAAATGAGAGTAGAAATATACTTATAGTATAACAAAATTTATTTTAAATTTGTATCAATAAGCCAAAATGTATACCAATATAAAAATTTTTAAGATTAATAGTTGTTTTTGGATTAAAGTAGGTTCAATAAACTACTCTTTAACTTATCATTTCTATATCCCCCCTTTTCTTTTTAGAATGGGATCCCTGAATCTAATCTCCTTTGTTCACCTTTTTTTCCTGACCATTCCCAATAACAACTTGTAACCAATTCCTCTTAAATGGCAATTAATATCCATAACCCATTTTTTGAGAAGGTGGGCATAGTTTTCTAGACTGCTTCCTGTTGACTGTGGGGCACAGACATCTTTGGGGGAACTGAGAAAATCAGAATAATTGTTAGGTATTGGTTGGAACATTCTGTAAGGCTGGATCATCTCAGTGAGCAGCTTTGAAGCTGTTCTGGATGTTGGATAACCTGGAGCATCCATTTTATTGCTGTCTGGTCCCCTGGCTCTGATAATATGTAAACTTTTAAAGATAAATAAATATCTGCAATAAGAAAAGTATAGACTACATATTCTACACAAATCAGCCAAAGGTGATTTTTTGTTTCATGTTTGAACAGGTAAAATATACTTCACATATCTTGTAGTTCTTTTAGATTTACTTATGTTTGCAGTCAGATTTTTCAGGGGGTCTTCCTTGATCAAATCTGACCAATATTAATTTGGAACAAATCCACGGCCCCTCATTTCCCATGGAAATAAGAGCATAACCTCTCCCCCAAAAAGTAATATATCTTTGACTTAAATTTTGAAGTTAAGATATCTTTAAAATATATAGGTTGGTTGAATCTAGCAGTTTTTATAATTTAGTGTCTCTTAGCAGCCCAAAAATTCAAAGAAAACACAATAACATATGAAATTCAGACTCTCTGTGTATTTCCAATCTTTACATGGCTTTTTTCTTTTATATTACTTTACTCTCTTTAAGAATTAAAGAGTAATTAAAAATTAAAGAGAGTAAAATAATATAAAAATTATTAATTTATTAGTAATTAAAAATTATTAATTTAATACCATATATTTCTTTTTATGACTATCTATACGTCCTCTTTTCTCTCTGAAGCCTATGTATAATTTTAAACACACTGTAACACATATAGAGGGATTTTTTTGGTCTGAATCTGTCTTTATTGTATATCTGTAATCCTTTTCTGTCTGCATGAGCAAAATTTAAACTGCTATGTAACTTAGAACATAGCATGCTGGCAGTTGGCTCCTCCCTGTCAGCTCCTGGGAGCTTAGTCTCATGGCACAGGTACGTTTACCACCAGCTCTGAAAGCCATGTTTATCATTCCAACTCTGGTAAGTTTTTGAATCTACACTGTCACTGAGCAGCATGTTGCTCACCACTCATAAACACCATTTAAGTGTTTGTCAGCAGGGCCTCCCAAAAGAGCAGCCCCTTTTAGTCACTAGCACCAAGCCAGGAAGCCTTCTCTTAAAGCTTTGTCTTTGCTCACTGCCAGCAAAAAGAGCCCACCAGAGAAAAAGCAGTTACCAAGATGCCAAATTTGACTCAGTTTTTTGTGTGTTTAGAATCCTTTTTAAAGCTTTGTCAGATCTTATGTGGAAATTCTGGTCCCACGTTTAAACACCAATATGTATGCAGAGTTTTCCTGTCCTGCAAGCTGCTTCCCAAATAACTTACACAACCCAGAGACTTAATGTGAATTATGAAAGCTTAGCTGATACCTCAGGGTTGTTACTACCTAACTCTTACATTTAAATGAACCCATGTTTCTTATCTATGCTTTGCCATGTGACTTATGGCTTGCTACCTCATTTTCTACATGCCCTGCTTCCTCAGCAGCTGGCTCACGTCTCCCTGACTCTGCCCTTCTTCTTCCCATCGTTCTCCTAGTTTGGCCCTCCTACCTATAATTTCTGCCTGGCTACCAGCCAATCAGCATTTTATTAAACGAATCTAAGTGACAAATCTTTACACTATACAGAAGGACTATTCCATAGCAGGCAGAGGTGCCCAAATTGGACTGTGTTCTCCTTTGCTCTCAGGATGTCTATGTGGGGAGAAGCTGTCTAAACTGGGAGAACAGCAAAGTTCTCTGCCTGGAACCTACATACCATTGGTCAATGACCTCTGCTCACTTTATGGTGTTCCCATTCCTAGCAGCTCAGTCTCTGTAAGCTCAATGAGCAACTCTCCTATGTGTCCTGGTAGCTCATTGTATGAGAGACAAAGCTTATGGCTATGTATTTTAATGACTCACACTCCATTACCTCTCTTGGGTCAGTGAGAGGGCTCAGTGGCTTAAGGTACTTGTTTTCAAGTTTGACAACCTGAGTTTCATCTCTAGGACCCACCTTGGAGAAGGAGCAAACCAACTCCCAAGAGTTTTCTCTGGTTTCCATACATATGCCTTTGCATGTGCACCACTAATAAGTAAATAAACAAATAAGTTTATATTTAAAAAGCTTCTGTTTTGAAATGTCTATAAGAGCTACAAAAAAATGGTCTCTCACTCACATGTGTGGTTCATGTGTCTACATGGCATGTGATCCTCAGAAATGCTCCTCAGTTAAAATTGGTTTTGGGAGAATGCTGGAGTAAATAAATCAATAAGCAAAGATAAAGAGAAGAACAAATGAGAAGTGACAGAGAGGTGAGTGGATGAGGGGGAAAGCAGCGGGATGATGGCCAGTATGCATTCTCCCTGTCTTTGAAAATAAAACCCTACTTTATAGTTAGGCACATAATAAAAAAGAATGTATTTATTATCCTCCTCTGAAACTGGACATGTCCAAAGCCCTGTGACTAAATTGCACATAAGAAGCAGTGTCTTGGGAGATCTCAAAGAGAACCCTGAAAGAAGCACTGTGTGTTCTTTTGACCCTTGTCTTGTTCCACATTTTGTGGCATGAAAAATAAAATGTTTTTGAGGTTAGTGGCCACATTGTACAATGAGGTAACCACTGGGATAGTTAGGGAGAAAGATAGGAGTCTAGGCTTTCTGTTGACAATTGTATACACCCTACACTGTCTTCCTTTGGACTTGCTGTATATAAGGAAGAGAGAAATTTCTTATCAACATTTTGTTGTTTTGTGCTTTGTTATTTTTATTAAATAAACCTGAACCTGATGCTAAGCAACATAAGACTCACAGGCTAGGGCCAGAGGCAGTCCTAAAATTGAGGGCTCCCTCTCTGTCTCATGTAGATGCCCTCTAAAAGCCAACCCAAAGCTGTAGCATGAAGTCAGAGAATCCTGATCCTTTTAAAAGACAATAAAAATGAGGGATGATCCCTGATCCAAACATCCTAGGCTGGTTGAAAGAATATACTGAACCTCAGATTTCATGCAAGTCACAACAGTCCTGGGAAATGTCACCAGGGGCAGTGCTAGTGACAGAATATTCATTCTGTTACAGCTTTGCATTTCAGTAGCAAAGGATGTAATCTACAGAGTGGAATACATGGGGGTAGGTTATACCACCATCAGGGAGTGCCAATGTGCAATGGGCTTCCAAGGATATGTCAGCATCTCACTCCAGTGGTCTTTGCCTAGCCGCTCAGCCTTGCTGCCTACTTGGCACACAGTTACTTACACTGTGAAAATGGGCTGAAATAGGTTTTTCTTAAAATTTTGGTATACAGAAATAAAATCAACAATTCAAATGAATGGAGGAAATTCAGAAGTAGGGGCCTATTAAAAAAATTCTCCAATTTAAAACTACAGTCTATGCTAAACAGCAGAAAGACCTAGGGTTCAATACTGTATCCAACTTTCCTAACACTGACATGGGTTCTTTGATTCCAAAAACCTTTGCCCAAAGAACTCCCTGATGTGTGCTAATGATACCACTTCTGGTTCTGGAGGATAAGGGGACTTCCAGATATATGAAATGAAATGGAAACTCTTAGGAAGGAGTGTGTGATGTAACACCCACTCAAATTTCAACAAGAGGCAACCAAGAATTTCAAGGTGGAGCCCAGTAGGGAGGGCTACTGGGTCTTCTTGTTCCTTGCTTCATTAGAGACCACCGCCATCATCTTTTCCACATCTCTTTCGACACTCAGCTTTGGTTCTTTCGGTCAACTGAGTTCTCAACTGTGAAAGGCACCCAGCTCCTTTAATTTAGGGCTGACAGCCTGAAACTTTTTGTGAGTAGGTCTTGCTTTGTTTCATTTTACCTTTTCCTTAGCAATGAAAAAAAGTTACTTAAAATAACTAGAAGTACGTGGCACATTCTTTGACTCCTTGGGATAACCTCTTTTTCCTCCCAGAAAAGACAAATGAT